ACGATAAATTAACCGTGAAGCCCTTTTAACGCGTTCTCATCTTCGTCATCTTCGTCATCTTCGTCGTAGTCGTCGTCGTCGTCTATCTTGAAAATTGACTCTACTACAACAACGTGTTCGTGACTTCGTTGACTTAGGATAATTACGAGAGACCAGAAGAGAGTACGATAATTAACCGTAAAAGCAAAGAGAGAGAGAGAGAGAGGAATAAATAGATGCAAGATAAAAGATAAAAAAAGATAAAAATAATATAAAATTATATAACCGTGAAAAATTGTATTGATCAATCGATTGTTAAATAAATGATAACCACGATTCCATAATTGTGACAACAGTATATTATGAATTTACGCTATTGGTCAAAATTATTCGAACACTTTATAAAGAGAGTGCGATAATTAGTCTAAAAGCAAAAAGAAAGAGAGAGACGCAAGGTTAAAATGAAAATTGCATAAACGATAAATATCTTATGGATGAATTAATTGATCGTGATGATCAAAACCTCATAACTATGACAAAAGGTATAACTTACAAATTAATTAACCAACTTACAATATCATAAATAGATAGTTGGTCTAAATGAACGCGAGAATAAATAAATGTTTAGAAAGAAAAAAAAGCTTTGATAATTACTACACGCACGTTTTCATGATTATAAAAATAAAAAATGTTATAATACTTTTTGTTTTTCTTTGCTCTTTCCAAAAAAAAAAGTGCAATTATTTTAAAACGTTTTATTACCATCATCATCGCGTGTTTTCAAACGTAAGTAGTTATATTTATACGTAGATACATATATACGTACATCGAATTAAAACTAGAATCGTAAAAAGGATAAAATGGGGCTAAATTTCTCAAACTCTGAAGTTTCTTTTTTTTTTTTTTTCTTTTCTTTTTTTAACTTTCAAGCCTTACCAAGAAAAACATGGAGAAGGATAAAGAGAAAGAGGTGGGTTGTGCGCTAGGTAGAGACCATTTGCTCGCTTACAGATTAAGCATCTTAATCACCAGCCAGCAAAACTGCAAATTGCTTGGCTGGTAGAGGACGAGAATGGCTCGGGAGAAAAAACTTCTGTACATTTGAGAATGGGTCGAGATTAAGTGGAAGGGGAAACGTATGTGATGGAGGGGATAGAAAGATCGTAACTATAAGAAAAAATGAGAAAAAGAAGATCAAAATTAAATTTGGTTTGTTACGTAATTTCTATCATATTTTGAGCGTTCGTGTTTGAAATTTGAGTTCGCGTTTAGAAAATTCACGCTTTTTCTATTCTATACGGAAGAAATTAAGGGGAAAATCAAAATAGAAGAATTAAAGGGAATTTTAATTGAAAATATTCTTTGAACGTAGTGAGAGTTTATCTAAGCTTTCTCGTTCGTTCGTTCGTTCGTTCGTTCGTTCGTTCGTTCGTTCGTTCGCGACAATTTCAACGGAAGAAAAGATTTACTTTAAAATCACGTCTACTCTAGGATATTATATCTCTACCATCGGCAAGATATATATTCTTAGGATGGACAGAGTTATCTTTCTATCCATCGTTCGCTTTTATAACAGAGAAAATGAGCTCGCATAAGGTAAGCCAGCTTTTCTAGTTACTTTATACCTCGTCTAAACCAAGAACGACCCATTTCTTTTCAATGTGTACCTTAAGCGTGCACTTATAGTTCTAAGTTTAAAATCTACACTTCTGAACGGACCTTGTAAAAATTTACCTTTGACATCTACGAAAATATTCACACATTCATTCGTGTGTTGTGTGTTCACGCATATTTCATTATTTTATCAATTAAAAAATTATTCTCTCTAACAATAATGAAATTATTTTATCTTACAATATTATTCATGCTTTTATCAAATATTTCTGATTTTATTTAATTATTCTTAATATATGAAATATTTGTAAAAATAATTTATATTCACACATTTAAAACTTATTCTAAAAATATTTGCTGCTTCGTTCGTGAAGATGAAATTTTTTTGCAAATGAAAATTATTCTATAACAATAGTTAAAATATTTTGCTTTTTAAACATTCATAGTTTTTTTTTCTTTTTCCCCCAAAGTATTTCTGTTTTATCAAATTATCATCAATATAAAACGAATGAAACATAATGAAATCGAAAAATGAAATTATTTTTCTTTTTTTTTTTCATTTAAAAAAAAAAAACAGAAGGACTTTGAAGAATTTTATTTAACTTTCCTCGAACGAGCTTTCAATTGGGAAAAACAATGAAAACAGAACAACAACAAAAAAAAACAGAAAAAATAAAAAATGAGAGAGAGAGAGAGAGAGAGAGGAAAATTAAACGGATAAATTCGATTATCGATGTACTCATATATTCCCACAAAATTTCTAATATGTAAATACATCTTTCTCGTTTCTCGTTCGTATATTAAACTCAGTTTGTTGAAATTATTATTAAACTCTCTTTATCTTTAGTTATTCAGAGCCAACAAACATGCAAATAAACAAACAAACAAGCAAGCAAGCAAGCAAGGAAGGAAGAGAATCAATAAGTAGATAATTTAGTTCAATCTGATCACTTTTACAGCAGACAAGGCATGCATGCACTTTGGCATTATCCATCGCGAAGCTATTAAACCGTACCTGCGAATATTCGAGCGACGATTAAGGCCAATTTCGATTATCCGTTTAACCTGTAGGGAAGGCAGGTACGTCACTCCATACAGTTTACCTATACATATGTATATATATATATTTACACATATTATATATATATAATAGATGTATGTATGTATGTATATGTATATACATATAGTTCATATGTATTCGAGTTGCGGCTAACGCATCGAACGCGGAGCTCCACTTTAACGGATTCTAATATATCATGAGTATGACGCGTATGACGAATATTAAGTGATTTGTCTCTGTCATGTGCATTAGAATAATCGTCCTTTCGTATTTACCATAAAAACATTTTCCGTCTTATAAAAGCAACAAGATTTCTAAAGGGGATTAATTCCTTAGCAATATAAAAACAAAAAAAAAGAAAAACAAAAAATGATGCATACCCCCTTTTTTTGTGCACAAAATTATACGTGCATACATTTAGATAAGAAAATATTATTTTCAAACATAGATATTAATTTATCATTCGTTTTTTTTTTTTTTTTTACGATATAAATAAATTTTGACGTAAATACGTGCATGTGGATGGATTGATGAACAGTTTCAAACCTTCGAGAATAATTTTTTTTTTTATTTTTTTAAATAAATTTTAGAAATAAACATTTTTTTATCGATCAAGTATTTTTATTGAATGGGTTTTTTGTAAGAAGGGCCTTTGTTGTATGCTGCGACACTTGTAACACAGGCAATAAAAGTTTTGTAATATAGATATTGTTATACATTTAATACAATTTATAATACTTAAATAATACAACGTTTATATTTACATATATACATATATAATATTATTCATATGAATAATTAAATTTTTAATTATACCAAATATTATTGTATAATAAACCATAAAAGAAACCCCGTAAATAACATCGATCGAGTTAGATGAAATTTTTCAAGCCCTTCTCGTTAACTTTAAACCGAATTTGTAGAATTCTTTAAGGGTTCTTACGAAAAGTTATTCGTAAACTTCGTTCTACCTGACGTAAGGAGCAACGACAAATTATTCCCGGGGACTCATATCGCGCTACGTTAAGCTCAAATTAGATTCGCGGACGACTTTAAGGTAGTGGGTGGATGGAATAAGATGGGTTAGAGAGGAGGTGTTATAAGTGAGAGTGTGAGAGAGAGAGAGAGAGAGAAAAAGAGAGAGGGGGAATGGATGAAGTAGAAGATAGGCTTGCCTACCCTAACGACACTCTAATCTTCTTCCCTCGTTAAGGCTTACGAAACGTTCTCTGGAACTTTCGTGTCTCCTGCGATATAATTAAAATGTTAATCGAGGCATTAGTTGTTTAAGACGGAAACCGCCTCATCGAGAACGAACGAAGGAGTAAGGAAGGGTTAGATGAGGAAGAAACGATTTGCTTTAGTCAGACGTCATTTGTCTTGATTAGCAACTGTCGAGGGTGGTAGCCTCTCGAGATCAAGCTCAAATAAATCGACAGTATTATGGTATCAGCCGATACCAAACTAATTTCCTACTTCGGGGAATAAACCAAGAAACTGCTAACAAACTGATCGAGTAAGATCATAAACATTGGTTTCTTATTATCGTTAGATCGATCACTTATGTGATTGACTATATCCAATTAAATCTGTTCTTCGATTTATTTTTATTATTAAATAATACAATAATTTAAATTCATCGATACGAAAAACATGATGAATGATATATCTACTTGTAGAAAACTGATATAAGTGTTAGTAAAATATTTTCGTTAAATAAATAATCATGAGATTTTAATTATTAACACTATAGGTAAAATTATAATTCAAAATAATAAATTTATATTATATTTTTTTTTTCATGATATTTTTTCATCTAGATATACTTGTTTCGTTTTGATATGAACGTATAGTTGTTAAGATATAAGATAATATCAAATAATCGATTCCACTTGACGATAATAAACGCAGATGTCACGCATCGTAAAAGATCATCGTATAAGAGTTGAAAGGGTCAGAACATAACTTGTCTCTGAAAAGTCATTTTCTGAGTGTACCAGGTATCCTTGCACTGAGAACGCGACCTTCTCATTTGGAATTCCTATTTCGAAAATTAGTTGGTAAATTAGTTTGTCCGTTGATTCACCACGAACTTTCGAAATTGGCTGGTTAACGCTAGAGCACCAAAACGGTCCTGCTTTTATCCTCGCTCAGGTAGGATTTTCAAGTAAGAGTCCCCATGTATGTTAGCAAAACTTAACGTTATTACGTTACATTTCGAACACCAATTTTCTCTTCCTTCCTTCCTTCCTTCCTTCCTTCTCGAAATCTCTTTGAACGTAGTTTTCCTCTAGCATCGATTTCAGATTACTTTGCTCATACGTTGTGTGTTTTATTTTTGTTACAGATTGGATGACGAAAAATTGGATCTTATTAATGTAAGTAATTAATATCTTCAAACTCACACACACACATAATTAAACTATTCTTTGTTTTTTTTTTTAATTGCATTATTGAATTTAAAAATGAATTTGGTGCCTTGAATAAATATCAAATTTCTACACGTAATAAATTAATTAATTTTCTTTTTGACAATTCAAATTCAAACCATTTTGTAAATAATTGTTTACAACGTTTTACAGCCAAATGAACTCTTAAATATACTTTCTTTTAAGTGTCAACTTGTCTGTACATCCCATGTTCTTTTTTTTTTTACTCCACTTAAAAATTGTCAAGCTCATATTAACAGCAATTCAAACACTCATGCATCGAAGTAGACATTACTCGTTCTTCGTAAAAAAGAAACTAGGCTATCATCATCGATCATCAAACGAGTAAAATAATATCGATGAAAGCGTCATCTTTGTTTGTTGTTTACTTGAGATCGTAAAATAAACCTTTTTGTTATTTTTTTTGTTTTTTCACTCTCAGTCGAAATTTTCTGCTCATTTTTCCCGTATCAATGAAGAACACGCATGTATCGAATGGAAATAAATTGCATTGGAATAAATGGCGCTTCGCTTCATTGTATCAAATGTTTATTGGCATCATGGCCGTTAACCTAATGCACAGCAACAACCACGACCACTACCATCAGTAATAGCAGCAGCACATTATTCTGATCATAACCGTATGCGCCAAATAACCGGAAATTACTGGCCGCGTTTCAATCGGAGATCGTCCGTTTATGCTACCTTTCGAAATACGAACAAGCATCGTTAACTTAATATAAATATTATGATACTAGTATCCCCCTTCCAATTTGTACACGTAATTACTCTAATCACGAATCTTACATACTAATCGATTACAAATTTCTTTCTTTTATCATAATAGTTTTTTTTTACCGACAATAAAAAAAAAGAGAGAGAGAGAGAGAGAGAGAAGGAAAGAGAAAAGAACGATCATTCTACCTAGGTGCGTTTCCTCTGCGAAATATTGACTTTTCTGGCGGAGTGCCCAATTTAAAAGTGGCTTTCGCGCGGCAACCTAAAAGAGAAGAGACGCGAGAGAAAAAGAGAAAGATAGAGATAGAGAGAGAGAGAGAGAGAGAGAGAGACGTACATAGCCGGACGTGTTCAACGAAGCGAAAAAAACTGGAGGTTCTCCAGTGTGCGAGGAACCACCAGGGATGTAGGATTGAAAAGTTTTCTCGAGCCTCCAGAATCAACCCTCTAACCCCTAACTCTCTCTCCATTACCACTAACTCCCCTTCCAGTTCTTCAAACGCATTTTGCGTTTACCTTTCGCGTCTCTCTCTCTCTCTCTCTCTCTCTCTCTCTCTCTATCTCTCTCTACACCTCCAATCTCCTAACTTCTAGCCCCCCCTTGCAAACTCCGACTTTGTTTTCTTCTTCTTTTTTTATTTGTTTTGTAATTTTTGCTTTCTCTTTCTTTTTCTCGCTCTCTCCCTCTCTTTTCTTTTCTTGTATTCTTTTTTTTTTTTTAACCCCAAACACTTTATAAAGTTCTGCCATCGTAGTTGACGGATTCAACGTTGTTGCAACGAACGGACGTGAGGTAGGATGCACCCTCGTAGCTAGTACTCTCTTTTGCCAAGAGATTTACAACCGCCGTGGCATGTAAAAGGCTGACGGTTGGAATGAGATAGAAATATAGAGAAAGAGAGCGAGAGAGAGCGAGAGAGAGAGAAGAAAACGGAGCCGTAGTTAATGCACGAACTCGCGGCAAACTAACAACACCGTTTAAATTCATTCTACCGTGGCGTTAAACGTTCAAGAGCTGCCCCTCGTATCTTTCTATAAAATTTCTATATATTAATCAAATTGATTTATTATATATATATATATATGTGTGTTACCATAAAAACGTGAAATTTATTAATTCACGAAATAACGATCTAAACCGTAAACTAACTATACTGTCCTATTAAAGTATGAAAGAAGGCACATTTGCATACTTTAATTAAGTAATTATATGAGAATTAACGGTAAAATGATATACATAGTTCAGTTGTAACATATTGTACACCCAATTTTGATAATTATTGTTACCTATCTAATAACTTTTTTCTTATTCTAATTTATGTTTTAAAAGTGAAAAAATGTGTAATGCAACGTACGTATCAACAATTTCGGCTTATTTATATTTCATGGTTTTACCTGGCAATAATTATCGACTATGTACGGTCTACATCTTCCTAGCGAGTAAGCGTAATTGCATTATTTATTTATAGCGATATACGTGGCTCATAATATAAAGTCAAATAAAATAATGGAAATCGTACTTTCGTAAATCATTTTACGGATAGCAGAAATATGTAAGAATAATGCTTGTTAAAATAATTAAAAAAAAAAAATAAAAACCTTAAGGGAAGAAATTATTACTTTCTTACATATTTTGATTATCTTTAAGTTTGAGTTATATTTGGATTTACTTCTTTTTTTCAAAAAATATTTCACAAATATTTAGCAAATAATATTTCAAAAACTTCAATTTCGATTATTTGTTTCCACGATAGATCGATATAGTTGTCTGTTTGGTTTACAACTAATACAACCTCGTCGAACTAGCATCAACTTTATCACATACCCTTTCCCACCTCCTATCCACCCCCTTGTCACCTCGTCTACTTCTACCTATGGGAATACGAATACGCTGTGTGACTCAACCGTCTCTTTTTCTGCGGTTCTCGACTAGCGTGTCCATAAATGACGTAGTCAAGCTGCATAATATTGATCCGACAGCTTATTCCATGATTTTATCGTTCTTACAATCCGTTTTATTCCTCTCAATAATCTGACTTCAAAATGGTCTATTATCAAAATTATGCAATCTTTTTCTTGATTTCCTTAATATTTTTCTCACACTTTTACATAAGAGAAAAGAACATTTTTTTTTTTATTATAAATTACAATGAGAAATCATTTGTATATGGAACATTGAAAAACTTTGAACGTCAAGGACATTTGTAATGTAAAGTATTTGAGATTAAAATATTAATGTGTTATATTTGCATCATCTTAATCTCTATCTATGCTTAAGATTAGCATAAATTATCAAGTTTTACGAAATGTTCATTCGAAGTACTGGAGTGTCATCGAGTGACTAGGACGAATAAAGTAATCCTTATTGGTATCCATAAATCGGTTCATAATTCGAGCTTGTTCTCAATTCAGGTGTCTCAAATCATTTATAACGAGTTATCTTTATACTTCGCAGGATTCGCACGTTAACGTTATTCTTGATTTATTCATCAAATTTTCATTACTATACGGATTTTCTCTCTCTCTCTCACACTTAATTTCTTTAGATTTCCTTCATAAAGTCGAATAATTATGCTTTATTTCAGTCACTCTTTCGAGTCATTCTTTCGAACCATCATAGTCACCAACCACACTCTTGCGGTGGAATTCTCATTCGTCTCGCACTTCTCGAGCCTCCGTAGGAAGGAGGGAGAGTAAATGAATCTAATTGCATCTGAAATTTAAATGCGGCCTTGCATTTGCATTTAATACCAACGTCTAACTAGCCGTGCAAACCCCCGATAAAGCAAGATCCACCCCTTACTTTCCGACCTTCATCACGACGCCCTCTTCGTCACCTCCTTTACCTCCTACTTCACCTCCTCTTTTGGCCACCTCGAGAGATATTGCCCGTTTTTCCTTCTAAACACACCTTTCTTTCATATGCACTTTTACGTTGATCTATCACTCGCATATCTTCCTCTAAACACGCCCACAGTATTTATTTTTCCATGACGTTTAAAATACAATTTTGGAACGTTTGAATTTATCTAAGGAATCGTTTCATTAAGTAATCCGGTATTTAGTAGCCGTCCCATTATGTCGAAAGATAAACGGGTTTTTATGTTTACAAGCAAGTAGTTTAAATTCTTACGTTCCGTTAGACGAATTATCGAAATATGCTAATTACTTCTTTTAGTCAACTTTCTAATTAACTTTGACGTTTAATTACTTAACGTCCATTTAAATTCCTAAAATTAATTTGAGTACTTGTCATAGAATCGTCTGAGTTATATGTCTTGTATGATTGATAATTCATTTGCACTATTATTGTTATAACATCTATAAGATATTAAAATTTAATTAATCACTTATCTAAAAATGTGAATCAAAATCTGATATATATTGTCCTATAGTATTCATATAATTGTTTATATCTTAACACAATTTCATTGAGTGGACTTGTCAGATGTTTCTAATACGAGAATAGATTCTTAGATTTTGCAAGAAGCGCATTGACAATTTCTCTCTTTCTCTGTCTCTCTTTCTCTTCCTATTTCTATTCGTATCTGTCTCTCAGATTTGCTGAGAGAATTTCAACAACGATATCTGACAATGTTCCAGTATGTTCTATCTATTCGAAGGTATTATATGGTACAAGGGATGGACTCTTGGGAAACTGATAAGGCTGTGGGATTTGCACGATATTCTGATAAAGGACGTCTACTCTGTCTTATCTCAAATTACGATAAATATATCATTGTTTCAAATATTAACAATGTCACAAAATAATAACATAAAAATGATTTAGAGAAATGTATATTCTTAATATCCTTATTCTAAGGAATAAAAACTAAACACTACCAATTAAATTTTGTTGTTCGAATCTAAAGTTATGCAAAAATATTCGTATCGATGAATTGGATTAGTCGTTAAGAATAAAAAATACAATTGAATTATATTATTTTTAAATCTGAAATATTAATAAATAACAAAGATTTCATATCAATCGTTTTATGAATTTAATTGTTAGAAATGTTAGAAATAAAATATGCAGTTGAATTTTTATTTTTTTTTAATTTAAAAATAAAAGAATATATAAAATACTTAAAAGAAAGAAAGAAATCCAATGATAATTAGGCGATTAATAAGAATTGGAAAAGTTTGATGATATCTACTTTTATTCAAAACTAGTTTACTTAGTCATGCATCTGTTTAGAATAATTCAAATTTCTTTTCTCCCGTCTTGTAACTTGAACGGTGTTTCGGTTTCACGAGATTTTAAGATAGGATATCGCGTTACTCCTGTTCGCGTTAATGGAAGTCAACGTCCAAGTTGTATTATGTTTCAAACTAACGAGATATTCGTTTACCAATTATTCTTCAACGGTAAAAACAAATAAAGTGATTTATTTAAATTTTAATATCGAACAATTTCTAATTTTATTTTTTTTTATTTTTAAACAATCATTTCAGATTACAAATTCAAATTAACGAAAAATCATCTGTCATAATTCCTTTTGAATAATTCAATAGGAAGATCAATGTAAAAAACAGTGGTGTAATCATAATGAAGAACAATTTGATAGAATTATTTTAATGAATTAACAAATATAAATATATAATGTTGAAAGGATAAAGAATTTGACAATTCGATTTACAAAGTTAATGAAAATTTAATGAGAGAAGTGTCCAATATTTAGCATAAATAAAATAAATTTCGTTAGGTGTCGATTTCTTTAAAGATATTTGAAATTCATGCGCTTTAGGTAAAGCTTTTATCGTTCATCTTTCTCAGAAAATCCATTCGTATCGATCCTTCCTCTTTACATATATACCATATATATATATATATATATATATATATATATACACACACGTACATATATATATATACATATACCGTACGGATATTACATTTGTAGTTTTTTCTCTTGTTCTTTTTTCTTTTTTCTTTTTTCCAAACCGAGTACTCTCGAACAGGATCGACGCTAAAACGAATACCTTGTCGACTGGTATTTTACGAGTAATTTTCAAAAGTCCCACCGTGTCGTTCCTGTCATTTCTGTCAACAATAATCGCAACTACGGCACGTGTCTCTCTTCCTACTACGCTCGCCATTGTATTCTCGACTTTTTACACGCAGCGACAGGACTGGAATATAACCGACAAAAGCTAAAGAGAGAAAAATAGACGAGGAAAATAGAAAAAAAAATACGGAGAGAAATAGAGAGAGAGAGAGAGAGGAAGGGAGTCTATTTAGGTAACAAAAAAAATGGGAAGGGGATAGTTGTTATTTTCCCATCTCGTACATCGAGTCGCTCGAAATATCTCTTACAAATATTTTCAATGGTTTGACTCATCCAATCCGTTTATTTGAAATGAAAGAAAGATGGCGAGTGAAGGAGGAGGAGGAGGAGGAGGGTAAGGGAAAATGAAGTAGGAAGAGGAAAAAGAAGGAAATCGAGCATAACGAGCCACAAAATGGCCTTTAAACATTCCTCTTTACCTGTCCATCCACACTTCTCGCTTATCCTCTTCAATCTCCTTTTTATTTTTTTCATTTTTTTACTCATTCCACTAGCTCCATTTCTCCTCCTCCTCCTCCTCCTCCTCCTCTTCCTCCCCCCCCCGTTATTTCAACTCTTCTCTTTCCATTACTATTATCGAATAAACGAACCGGTCAAGCACGTTTATACGCTTAATACCAAATTTATCTGTCAACCCGTTGACACATCGTCGCACATATTTTTCATCACCATTATCAAGGATCAACAACTACAACTACAACTTCAACACAACTTTTGAACGTTATATTTTCTTTGGTATTACTATTTTGACATCTTAATTCTTTGATGCATGGTGGGATTAAAAGTGTCCCATCTTTTTTTGATACATCGTAATGCACGGTTAGGACATTTTTAGTCCCATCACGAAATATTATTGCAATTTCTACACGTGCTTCATAAATTTCTATTTCATCTTATTGATGCTAAGCAATTGTTTATTCATTCTTCGTTATTAATTGTTTTTTTTTTTTTTTTTACAATCGCATATTTTTCTTTTAAACACTAACACTTGAAGAATCATCGTTATGTGATAAATCTAACATGCATTTTTTTTAATAACCCATCTATCGTTCCACTTTACAACTCAATTTTCCATCTCGTGTAAAAAACAATTCATTATTATTGTAATCGATTCAACTAACTCAATTATTTATCTTTCTTCAATATTCATATAAGCCACTTTTATAATCACCGTTACATATAAGAATTCGCCATTCGTTAAAAGAAAATCGTCTCAGAAGGAAGGATATCGAATCGAAGCGAGGTAAAATAAATAAATTTTTCATAAGGTTGTTCGTGACGAAGCTCATTCGATTCGCGAGCGTGCCTCCTCTCTCTCTCTCTCTCTCTCTCTCTCTCTCTCTCTCTCTCTCTCTCTTTCTCTCTCTCTCTATTGTACTAGCTGAAGAAAAAAGGGTGGTTGGAAAGGGAGAAAGTTGGATTGTAAATGAAGTCACGTGAAATATTTGACGTTTCAACGATTTAATGCACATTTGTTGTTGGAGAGTTACTTTGTAACATTAGTTACATTGTAACAAGAAGTTACATTTGCTAATTTTTCCAACTTGGCGTGACATTTTTACCTTATTATGCCTTACACAGTTTAAAGTAATTCGGAAAAAAAAGAAAAATAATCAATTTTACCTGAGTGTTGTACTATTGTATTGTAAAATATGAAAGAAAACAGAAAATATAAAATCGAGAATACAAAGAGAGAGAGAGAGAGAGAGAGAGAGAAAGAAAGTGTGCTGAACGTGGACTGTTAATGACCAGGCGCGTCGTTGTTCGTTCGGGGCGACACAATCGGCGGTGAAAAATAATTAAAAGACAGAAATGAAGTGTTCGCACGTCCGCGCCAGTTCGAAGGTACCATTTGTTCGTCGCTCGAATTTTAATTATCAGCCGTTCGCCATTAGGCCGATATTAATGACGCACACCTACATATATATATATGTATATATATACCAAGCTGAGCCCTAACTTCCTTCTTCGTCTTCGAAACCCTACTCTCATTTCTCTCTTGTTCTCACTTTCTCCAATCCAACCTTCTTTCTTCTTTGCACGTCTAACGATCGTTTGTTTAAGCCAGCCGGAAGTAACTCAGTCAGTTTTCTCTCTCTCTCTCGCTCGCTCGCTCTTTCTCGTTTTTCCATATATTTCTTTCAACCAGAAGCAAGAAGAATAGTTCTTTCTACCCTTTTGCGAACAATTTTCCGTTCTCACTTTATCGATTGTTAAAAAACAATATTTACAGTGAGTCACACAGAAATATTTGTACCACTACTGTTGTAAATTCGAAACAATTCATATCTGTTTGTAATAACAACATTTAAACAATTTTTACACAAAGAAACATACTTATTTTCAGATTTGTTTTCAAACTTGTAAATTGATATTTAAACATTTTATTGAAGAATTCAATTGTTGTTCATAATTTATAAAGTAGTCCTTTTATCAATTCTTTATCTGTTTTTTTTTTTTTTTTTTTAATAATTAATTCACTTTTTCCTTAGGGTGTCCTCAACTTTATTTTTTTCTTTCAATAATTTTTTTTTTTTTATTTAATTTAAATGTTTCTGTCAATAATTTAAGTGCATACACAAGTTGAAATTTAAGAAACAATATATTTTTTACAATTAGTTTCATTCTATTTTCGATCGTGCTCACAAAGCAATAGTTCAACTCGCAAGATCAAAAAATCGTTCTCTTCTCGATCGAAAACCTTTCTACATTCACGGAAGCGTTAACCTGAAAATTAATCTCTCTCTTTCTCTCTCTCTCTCTCTCTCTCTCTTTCACTCTCCACCTATACCATACCAGCTTTAAAAGCTAAAGTAGCTCTGGTTTTGTTTCTGCTGAAACTTCAGAAAGCTCACTGGGACGTTTTTCTCTCGCACCAGCTACTCTGCACCCCTTCCTGCAAAAGCAAAGCATTATCTCGTAGAAGTTCCTTTTTTTTGTTGTTGTTTAAAATTTGTTCTCTCTCTCTCTCTCTCTCTCTCTCTTCCTCTCTCTTTCCCAATATTTTTTTTTCCTCAAACTCGTTCGTGACGATGCAGCTTTATTGTAAGGCGGGAAGGAGTGAAGAGGGGGAGGCGAGTGATAGAAAGAAAAAGAGCGTGAGTAAAATATGAAGAGAAAGAAAGATAGAGAGAGAATGTGTGTGTGTGTGTGTGTGTGTGAGAAAGAGAAAGAGAGAGAGAGAGAGAGAGAGAGAGATCCCTCGGATGAAACAGGAAAGTAAATACAGTTCGTGATATAATGGCTGTTATCCGTGTCTCATGCCGCACAATATTACGGTACCCGATAGCATAGATATACCCTGCGAAAATGACAGTCATCCAACCATCCCTCTATCTATTTCTCTCCCTCCCTCTCTTTCTCTCTCTCTCTCTCTCTCTCTCCCTCTTTCTTTTTCAACTCGGTTCTCTCGTGTAGCCTCGAAACAACGGAGACGGCTTAAATTAAACGACGATGTGCGCGTACGCGAAAGCATGTTCTCTCTCTCTCAAGCCTGGATTTTACCTTTGCTTCCAATTAATGCCGTGCATTATTTCGAACACGCCGCGTTTGTGTGGGCATCGGTTTTACGATTTACTCATATCGTAATATATATATATGTATATGCATATATGTACATGTATGTATATATATAATCATCTATTCAAATGCGTGTACTTACGCGAGCATGCATATCCGTATCATTTGTTGTACTTGTCTGGTGGTAGTTTTTCTGTTTTTCTTTTTCTTTTTCTTTTTTCTTTTATTTTTCATTCATTAAATCTCTCACTCTTTCTATTTTCCCTTTTTTGTATTTTTTCAGAACACAATCCTGCCAGAGGCCGTGCACTTTTGGGAGAGAGCACTTATGGTTCGAGAAACGAAGAATACTATCAGACTGAACAGGTTAGAATCTACATTTTGTTGATTCCAAATAACCTTTTTAACCAGGGCCCATTAGTATTGCGAATAATTAGATTCAACGAGCCAGAGAGAATGAGAAAGAGAGAGAGAGACAAAAAGAGACAAGAGAGAAACACAATATTGTAGAACGGGTACGACATATGCATACTTGTTTTACATGCACGCCCGATGATGCACTCGCGTTTATTTGCATAGAGACTGAAATGCTAAGCTGAAAGGGTGTGAATATGTATATGTATTTGCGCTCGGCGCATATACACGACTCCTCTAATTCATCCTACACCATTGGTTGGTTGATGCTGCAGGCGAGCAACTTCTGTTCACATTATAAAACGTACTTATCAAATTTCCCGCTTGGTTCGCTGATAATAAAAGCTTTCTAATTTATCAAAGATTTTTTTTTATTTTATTTTTTTTTTTGTTCTTTCTATTTGTCTCGTTATTTATATCTTTTCCAAACAAACAAAAAAATTGTGCGCTTAAATTGGACCAAACATTTCTTTTGTCTCTATTTAATTTCTTTTTCCCCCTTGTTTATTTTACTTTCTTGGTCGCGATTTTATTTGTTGTTGTTTTTTTTTCTCTCTTTGGAGATGAAAATATCGTCGCACAGATTCCCACGATTTCGTAGGAAAAGTTTTCAACGGTTCTACGAGGGATGTGAAAATTAAAATGTATGTTAGGTGGGTGTACATCTACGACTGAGAAGAGAACGCAAATATTTGTGGTACATTTTATGCTCTTTATTTTCTTTTTTTTTTCCTTTTTTTCACCGCTGCAGTTACCGCAACGTCCCCGCAGTTACGTACGTACGTACGTACGTACATTCGTATGTACTTGTATATACGAGATATATATATATATGTATATACCCATCTCTACGTTGGTATTTACGTAGGTACGTAACTTAAATTAATACGAGCTTGCTCACATACATATGTACACGGATGACGACGACAACGACGACGACGACGACGACGACGACGACGACGACGACGACGACGTCGTCTACGTCGTTGACCAAACAGCGTACAGCCAATGTTCCGACATACATACGCACGAGTATAATAATACCTCGGACACTTCCTACGTTTATTTGCGGTAACGTTGAAATCCTAGATAATTGCATTTCCACGACCATAGTTATATTGTTCTAACATATCACATATTTGTTTTATTAATAATAATTAATTATAATTTGTCTTTCTACTTTTTTTATTTCCTCATCTTGTTTTCTTTGATGTATTTTTTATTATGTTTCATAAAAAATTGCATTATTAAATATTACTCATTATTAATAAAGGAAAAACATATAATGAAACAATCATTTTCCGTTCAACTTTTCTTCTCTTTATTTTCCATCCAATTTTCTTTTCAATCAAAATTCTATTTTCAATTTGAACGTTCATTACTACTCGTAATAAACAAACTATGTATGATTAATAATTATATTTAATTATTATTTATCTCGTTATTATACTTCTCTCGTCTATTTGATTTCGTTTTAAAGTACGTAAGTTTTATCAAAATTATAGGATCGATTGTAATAAAAATGAAAAAGAAAGAATGAAAGAAAGGAAGAAAAAAATGCAAACTGTCAGGTTGGCCTTTCGTCGATCATGCGTAACATTAGCATGTAAATGTGCCGATAGAACGGGAATGGCGTCGACAGAAGGGGACAGGGATGGAAAATCGAGCTTCCATTATTCGAATCACTCGATTATCCCGATAGCTTCGTTCACCGCGTGGGCCGTTCCGATAAACGTCGTCGATACTCTCGCGCAATTGGGCTCGTTTTTCCGTACCAAAAGAATCCACAATTTATATTTCAAACTGAATGTTATCGTTATTTTTCATGAAACTATAAAATCAGAAGAAGAAGAAGAAGAAGAAAAAAGGACGAGCAAAAAGAAAAAAGAAAAAACCACCACGCACCCGAACGAAAAAAGAAAGAGAGAGAGAGAGAGAGGAAAAAAAAAGAAATCAAGATTTTCATTATCCAAAGTGAATGAAAATGATCGATTAGGGTTTTAGCTATAAATTGTTAGAGATTAGATAGAAACGTCTTTCTTCTTGAGAATAATCCAGCGTAGATTATCCGTAGCAGCAGACGGGATCGCAAACTCGATCGAGGATAAAAGATTCTCTCGGTTTTTTTCCTTTCGTATTTACCCTTGCGGAACGGGATTACGAGGATGAAAATTACAGAGTAGTGAATCCTTCAACGGGCATTGACGTCGTCGTCGTTCTCGTTCTCGTTTTCGTTCTCGTTCTCGTCGTAATCGCAGTCGTCTCAACATCGGTCAGTGTAAACTCGATCGTTTCGAGTTGATAGAAATGAACGAGCGTATATCCTACTCGGGGAAAGAGAAAAAAAAATCGTGACAACTTTTAATTCAGGGAGACAGGGGGAAAATTAAACAAAAACAAAAAAAAATCAAAATTAAACCAAAAAAGTATCAAAAGAATCGTTAAGAGTGTTTCCTATAATATGTGAATTATTTATTTGACAAATCGTTCGAAATTGATTAAACGAAACGAAAAAAACAAAAACAAAAAGAACATAGAAAATAATTGATAACAAATATTATTATTATTATTATTATTATTAAATTTATTAATAAAATACAAGAATCTTTTGAGAAAATCCTAATGTATTGTCGTATCGTTTATTATTGAACAATCTGTTGAAGTATGTACAGTTTATATTGCTGATAAGCTTGAACGGCGGCGGCCGACTCGATCCGAATTGATCCGATCCGAATCGATCCGAATCGATCCGAATTTCTTCGAATGGTTCCTTTTTGTTTTACCGTAGTTAGTCGTACATATACCTTCACGTAATGTAGGACGCGTTTGCGCTTGGTACTTTGATGATCATTCAAATATGTAAGTTTTGGAATTAATTGATTATAATAAATAATAATACTTATACCTTCAAGTTTATTATCATACAACCAACCCGATTCACAACCAAATTTGAATTAATTTTAACACAATCATTAAAAATTATTATTATTATTGTATAATCTAATTAGTTAAGAACTATTTTCTAGAAAAAAAAAAGACAATATGAGAAGAAGAGGGTAGAAAAATGTGCATATTAACGTGTGTGTTTATGTATATGTGTATTTGAGAGGGAGAAAGAAAAAGAGTGGTGTGTGGTTATACGTATATACATCAATCTCTTGGCAAGTGAGGTTGCTATCGGTGCCAATAAAAATCCAAGCGAGAAACCGTAGGTAATCTTAACTCGTCAGCTGTCTTATTCCGATACTTCGCACGATGTATCAGCATCTATATATCAGTGAAGAAAATTTCACGTCAGGAACGATAATGTCTCGTGACTCGTTCCTTCTATTCTTTCTCTTTCTCTCTCTCTTTCTCTCTCTCTCTCTTTCTCTCTTTTCTTTTTTCTATTTTTTTCTTCTTTCTTATTTTTATCATCCTTTTATATCACAGTATTCTCAAAGTGAAAGAAATATTTCTTCCTTTCATCGACTACTCACAAGATATAACGAAAATAATATTACCTTTTTCTTTTCACGCACTTGTCTATCATTAGATGAAAGAAGAAAACACGTGCACGCACACACGCACACACTCACATATTCATATATAAAAAGAGAAAAGGAATATCGAAAATAATTTTCTCTCATCCGATTGGTTGAAAATTCTCATTAATACGGACTTCTGTTACAAACGTGCATGCAAGAATACGCATACATACATATCATTTATACTTATAATCATCATTTTCGATGGGGTAAAAGGTAAAAGAGGATTGGTGGAAAATCGTTATACTCGTGGCGTTAAAAGCTACGAAAAGCAAGCAAGCAAGCAAGCAATCTGTGTGTATGTGCGCTTGTATGTGTAATTCGAGATGAAAGGTAAAAAAGCTTATGCACAAACATCATAGACTATTGACTGTGTGCGAATTGTAAATGATTGAAGATAGAGGAATAGTAGAAAATGTGTTCGTCGTGTTTTTGAAAAATACGCTTTTTATACAGATGAAACGATCACGGTTTCTCTCTCTTTCTCTCTTTTTATTTTTTTTTATTTTTTTTTTTTTTTTTTACTACGGAAACATCATACACACCCTAACGTAGTCGATAACACATCATAGTCGTCGTTTCGAGCTCTTCAATGTTCGACGAGAGATTTTACACTTGACGTTCCTGTCGCTTTACCAAACGTTACGACACTCTAACTCTAATGTATTTCCTGTCATTCGTAAATAACGATCGATCCTCAGAAGAAATCCTTAAAATGATAGAACGAAAGAGAGAGAGAGAGAGAGGGAGAATGAGTGTGAGAAAGAAATGGTGATGCAACGATAAAAATGTTCTCGAAAACGAATTTATCTCTCAGGGAGTTTGGTTTATATAAAATTCAGACTTTTCTATCGGTTACTTTTTTAACATCCTTGATTTTCCTCTAACGCATCATTTTCCAAACTTCCTCAATCACGGGGATTGGTATTATATAGAAAAATATCTTATCATTTAAAATGGTCATTTTTATTTTTGGATAAATGAATGAATACAAATTCGGATTATTTATTAAATTCAATAAATTGCACATTTCAGTGAGATCTATTTCCTTTCTATAATCCTGGATGAGCCCCTAAATGTGGGATTCCCTTTTTACTTGTTAGATATCCTTTAGGAAGACAAAAACAGGAGAAGGGGAATCCCACATACATATTTTTTTTGTATATGTTTATGCATATGTTCATATATATATATATATAAAGTCGTCGTCTTGATAAAAAAAACCAGCTCGATTATAAATTCTCATAACGTTCACGCAAAATAAGAGAGAGAGAGAGAGAGAGAGAGATATAGAAAGTGTGTGTGTATGTGTGTGTGAGAGAGAGAAAGAGAGAGAAACAAAAAAGGAAAGTAATCGTATGAAAGAGGTCGCAACGTTATTTGCATTACAAAAACGTTTTGATTTAAGGAAGTAAAATAACAATT